TCTCTCTCTCTCTCTCTCTCACACACACACACACACACACACACACACACACACACACACACACTGCTACTGTTTCTAGTAACAGCACCCAGGTCCTGTGATCACTCTCTGAATGTCCTCGCTGCTCTTCCTCTCTCTCTCCCCTGCTACTAAACAAGCTCACAGCTATGGCGCTGATACATGCCCGATCGAGCGATGTATAAGGAGCCAAGGATCCGCCAAGTGATGAAAAGTCGCCAGGGCATCGATGGGGCCGAAAGGCATGAGAATCCACTCAAAATGCCCGTACCGCATCTTAAACGTGGATTTGTAGCGATCTTGCGGGTGTATCGAAATTTTGTGATAGCCCGATTTCAAGTCTGACTTAGAAAAATATTTTGCGCCGCCCAAATGCTCAAGAAGATTGTCGATACGAGGAAGAGGCCCCGCATTCTTGATGGTCTGCGCACTGAGCTTGCGATAATCAATGCACAAGCGAAGGCCCTTGTTCTTCTTCCGTACGAAGAGGACTGGCGCACCATATGGTGAGCTACTAGGGCGGATCCAACCCTCGTCCAACAAGTCATCGAGTTGAGCGCGGAGAACCGCGAGCTCTTCCTCGCTCATGCGATAGGTGCAACCTTTCAGCGGCACGACACCGGTGTCAAGGATGATCTCATGAGAGATCGGCCAATCCAGCACCACACCGGTAGGAGACTCGAAGACGTCGGCGAACGCGTCAAGCAACTGCACCATGTGGGGGTCTGAAGACAAGTCCGTAGGTGAAGACTCGGTTGCCACGATGGTTCGAAGAAACAAAGTTCGATCTCGTCGGTCCGCTGGTAAGCACAAGTGGACCGAAAAGACTTGCCCGTCACGACTTGGCACTGCAACAAAGGGTGCGGAAGAGAAAAAGCGCACAAGACTTCGACGCCGAAAGCGCCGCGAAAGGCAAGTGTCTGCTGACGGAAGTTGACCGTGTGGTCTGCACTCGCGAGCCACGGCATCCCCAAAATGATGTCGAAGTCCGTGTCCAAGACGTCAAACGTGACCGGCTCGCATGGATGTGGTGCGAAATAAACCGCCACGACCTCGATATAGCGATCAAGAAGTTGTTGCGTCCGACCCTCCGCCATCTTGAGCACCGTAGGATGTGGCTTCCTTCGAACTTGTGCGCCAAGGCCGGTCCTTGTATAAAGGACTGGCTTATGAAATTGTGAGTCGCGCCGCTATCCCGCAAATCGTTGCTGGATGCTTGCCCAACTTGGATGCGGACATAAAGAAGCGGTGTGTTGTTGTCATCGTACCACTAAAGTGTGAAAATCGCGGGCCACCTTGGTGATATATGCAAGGAGGTCCCCCACCACAACTTTGTCATCCGTCGATGAAGTTGGTGGGGCATAGAAGGACAAATCTGTGTGCAAATGGGCGCATACTGCTGCACATTGTGGTCCCGGTAAGCAGCCCGTGGAAGGGAGAGGAAGCCATGCAAAATCCTTGGGCGACAACAGGTCCAAGACCTCTATGTTAAACTCGCGTGCTGAGTCCCTTGAAGCACCACTTGAAGACAACGAATTGGCGCTACTACCGGACGGAGAGGAAACCGTGCACACACCTTGTCCTCGAGCTAGAGAACCCAGCGATGGAACGAGCTGAGCAGTAAAGTCCTCGAAAGAATGAAGAAGAGGACTTACGACTTTCGCATGTGCCACAAAATTGAGGGAGGTTGCTCACGAAGCAACCGGTTTCGAAGGCGTCCAGAGTGTTGTCGTATCACTCTCGACGGTGCTCACTTTCTCGAATGGGTCTTCCACTTGGCTTTCGTGGGACAGTTCGCGGTGTCGTGTGCGTTGCTGTTGCACCACAAACAATATTGGTACTTGGAGCGAATCTTGTAGATGCCCTTCGAGATGCTGTAATGAGCTGTTGTTCCGGTCCCCGGTGCTGAAGAGGTGCTTGTCATCAATTTGCCGTGGCCTCAAACCTTGGTCGGGCAGCCACCATCCCGGGCAGCTGCTAACATATCTCCCTGGTCTGATGAAGCAGCCTTGTTGGAATTGGTCGACGTCGTTGCTGCGACCATGGCCACTTTCGGCTGATGCTGATCTCTGCCTTGGCCTGCGGAAGACGAACGACCAACATTGCAGGCCGCTGTGTTCGTCACAGTGATCTGCGAGGCCTTGTTAAAAAGTAACTCACTGGTGTGAGTGTCTCCGCGACCTGCGTCAAGGCATTTTCCAATGCCAGGCATGACCTCGTAATGAAGTAGTGTTCGACACCTGTGAAATGGATCGGCAAGCCGGGCGTGGATGCCAAGTGTTGGTACTCGGCGATCCAATCCATGCTTGGCAAGGAGTTCTGGTGGAAATTCTGCAGTTTCTCCATTGCCTAGAGCTCGGGCGGTTCCACTTGGAATCGCGTGTGCCTTGCTGTCGTGAGATCAATGCAACTGATCTTCGTGTGCAGCTCGGAGATGACGACTTTGTGGTGGACAAAATGTTGTCAAGCCATGCTTGACATGCGCCAACCGACCAGTCGAGCACCTTCGCGCCGTTTTGGAGCGGCTCCGTATCGCCAAGTACAAGGCAAACCGTGACAAGTGCGAGTTTGCCCAGCAAGAGCTAGAGTACAAAAGTGTACTACCGACGCCCGCTCCTTTCTCAACTTGGCATCATATTACATGCGCTTCATCAAAGGATTTCAACGCATCGCTGCACCATTGTCGCGACTTCAGTCCCCCTTGGTGCCCTTAGTTCAGCGACGAAGCCCGACATGCGTTCCACACGCTGAAGACGACTTTGCTTCAAGCTCCCGTCTTAAGCATCTATGACCCGACCTTGCCTACGAAAGTGACTATGGATGCTTCCGGCTACGGCATTGGCGCGGTTTTGGAACAGCATGACGACACAGACTGGCATCCGATTGAGTACTTCAGCCAAAAGGTGTCGCCCATCAACACTCTTGATGATGCGAGGACGAAGGAACTGCTAGCTTTTATCACCATACTCAGTTTCTCCTCGGGCGTCGGCGATTCACGTGGGCAACGGACAACAATCCGTTGACGTATTACAAGACGCAAGACACGGTGAGCAGCACGATCGGTCGGTGGATGTACTTCATTGACCAGGTCGACTTCACCTCCAAGCACATTCCTAGCTCCTCGAACAAGGCAGCGGATGCTCTCTCGCGAAGACCTGATCTTTGCGCCTTGGTGCACTCCACATTCGGCCTCGACGAGAACCTGCAACAACATTTTGTAAACGGATACAAGTCAGATTCGGGATTCTCCACACTCTATGCGGACTTATCATCGGATCACCCGCTGCAAGCAACTATCGCATTGTCGATGGCTACTTGCTTCTCCATACATGAGGCAAGGACTTGTTGTGTGTTCCCCAAGACCGCATCTTGCGCACTCGCCTCCTTGGCGAATACCACGATTCGCGGCTGGCGGGACACCTTGGTGTCACACGCACACTTGCATGACTCCACCGGCGATTTCATTGGCCGGACATCATCAGGGACGTCAACCGGTACATTCAGTCATGTGCAGTTTGCCACCGGAACAAAGGGCGTCGTCAGCTCCCGTACGGCGAACTGAAACCATTGCCGATTCCTCGGGAACCGGGTCTCTCCATTGCTATGGATGTGACCGGCCCTTTCCCTCACGATCGCCTTGGCCATGACGGTATTCTCAAGGTCGTTGACCGTTTGAGCAAGTACGCTCGATTTCTTCCATGCAAGTATCATGCGACGGCTCCCGAGCTCGCACGACTTTTGCATACCGGCTGGTTTTGCAGCCACGGCGTTCCGAAAGACATCGTCAGCGACCGCGACACTCGTTTCATGTCGGCCTTTTGGACGACACTCATGGTGGAATCCGACACCAGTATGAAACCGAGTTCCGCACGGCATCCTCAAACGAATGGGCAAACGGAACGTGCGCACAAGACTACGCAGATGATGCTCCGCACACTCGTTCGCCCGGATCAGCGGGACAGGGTTGACCGCCTTCCCGACATCGAGTTCGCCAACAACATTTCGGTGCACCCGGCGATTGGCGTGACTCCATTCGAGTTGCATCACGGTGGACGGAAAGGACGTATCTCCGCAGACATTTTGCTTCCACGGGCAGCCGATATCGACGTCGCTTGCTCCCCCACTTCTACAAGGAAGTACAGGGAACTGCTGGTCAAAGCCCGTGCAAACATGCAAAAGGCTCAGGTCCGTATGCAGCAGCAAGCGAACCGGCGTCGCATCCCATGTCCAATACGCGCTGGCGACCTAGTTTGGGTCACCTCTGAGGAATTCGCGCTCGAGCAGCACGTCTCGCGCAAGCTCCTCCCTAAGTGGTTTGGACAATGGAAGGTCACTTCAGCAGCTAGCGACGACCCCGCGGGTCCATCGTTCATCATTGAGATTCCCCCGCATTTGACGGTCCACCCGATATTTCACGCTTCAAAGCTGGCGGTCTACACTCCAGCCTCCGCAGCGGACTTCCAGGGCAGACGGTCACATGACCCTCCTTCAATGGATGGTCATCAGGAGGTCGACCGCGTTCTCACGCATCGGAAGCATGGCAACAAGCCTATGAAGTACAAAGTTACATTTAAGCAATGCGATCCGGACGACACACGCTGGATTTCAAGAGCTGACCTGAAGGTGACAACACCCCTCATCTTCGCGCATTACAAAAAACAGCGACTTGCTAAGGAAGCTGCCCAACCTGGCCGCCCTGTACGGACATCGGATAGATAGCTTCGCCCTCGCAGTTAGCTCGATCTTCAAGGGGGGGAGTTTGTGGCATTCTGAGCCACACGGGCCCCAGTTAGGGCCCGGTTCCAGGTAGGCAGGGTAAGCCTAAGAGGGACGACGGTTCAGATAAGGCCCACGTAGGCCAGGGGTACGCTGGTTCAGGCAGGCCTGGGATAGAGGCCCAGGCCAACAGTCACAAGGCCGGTACCGGTCCAGCATAGGACCTACCGGCGGCGCAGTTTCAAAGGCTGCCAAATTTAGGCGCCAAGTCCAGTTCAAAACTGGACCGTTGATTCAGATCAACGGTCCAGGCCGGTAGGTACCAGCAGGTAGGAGGCCGACCCAACACTACAAAAGGCTGGGTACCAGCCTCAGAGGTAGGTTAGTATGGACCGGAGGTTAGTCTTCAGGGATTAGCGCAGCGTTCCAGAGTTGGAGGATTAGCGCAGCGCTGCAGCATAGCAGGGAGCAGCGACGAGAGCATGAGCTCAGCGGCGAGAGGATTAGCGCAATGTTGGGCGCAGCGCCAGCTACCGGCCCAGCCCCCTTGCAGCGCCATAGCTACTGTGCCAGGTACCAGGGAGGAAGGCTTCACCTTCTCTCCCTCATCTCCTCCAC